TGAAGCACGTCAATTCTCTCCTGGGGAACGTCTTCGTGAGCCTCTTATGGTTTCAGGATAGTTCAAATCCTATGATGCTCCGATTCAATGCTCACCGATGATCTGACCCATGGGGCAAGTTTGTTTTCCTAAGAATCTATTTGAACATTTCGAGAGCATATGTTTGAACATTTAGAGTGCATATGAACATATATTTACGAAAGGTCGCCTTCGAGGGGATAAATCACCATGTCGAACCTTGCATTTTTGTTCCTGACTCTCGCGTTCTCTTCTCTTCCCGCTGTCCTACCTTTCGTGTCTCCCTCCTCTCAAGTTGGGTGTTCTTTTTTGGTCTCCTATTCACCATGGGCTTTTCGGTCAGCAGGTTCATTTTTTGAGGAAGAACTCTTCCTGCAATCATCAGACCAGCGGAGCCATGACGAGGAGCTGTGAGGATCTTCTTGGAGATGTGCAAGAGCTTCAACGAAGCAACGTCGGATCATCTTTTCGCACGTGCAAGTTAGATGGCGTTCAGATTGTGATCCCGACCCAAATATGTTGAATCATGTTAGATGGGCCTTTCCTTGATTCCTTCCCAGTCTGTCGAGTCTTGATTTCCTAGTTTTTTTTTCGATGTCTATCCACTCTCCACTGCCAAACTTGTGCAGCACAAATGGTCGCCCTGAGGCTCTACCAGCATGACGCCGCCTGTCGTGTTCGGGGCCTCTTTGGGGTTCCGTTGTTCGGGTCGACGAGATGTCCAGCCGCGACCGGAGAGGAACTTTCGAAAGACACCAAGACACCTTCTTACTGTCAATGATGTCAATGAAGAGGCTTGCCTTTCGTGACGAGACATAGCTCTTGGACTGGTGTGGAGAATAAATACATCCTCGAGGTCATCGCCCGGCTGATCCGCGAGCGGGACATGGTCAAGGCACAGAACCAGAAGCTGCAGGCGGAGCGGACGGCAGAGCGCCGACGACGGACGGAGCGGACGGAGCGGTTGACATGGTGAAGGAGAAGATGAATGCGGTTATTGTACTTCATGTAATTGTTCCAAGTTTATGTTGAGTTTTATCTTGAAGCTTAAGTTTTCATCATGAAAGGCATCTTTCGTTTTTTTTTTTCCGGGAAGGTGTTTTTCTATTCAAGAGTAAATGTTACACACATGTGTTGACGTTGATTGCCACACCGAGCACGACTGGCTATCTGGACTGGCTATCAACAGTTCCGGCCCTCCAAAAGAGATGTGGGCCTGGTACTTCGCGTCGGACGGCTTTCGGATGGGATCCCGGAGTGTGCTTGTCTCCTTTCAGGGCTGGACCACAGCTCAGACCGCTCAGACCGCTGGTCTGCCCCAGGAAGAGCTCTCCTCGGCACCACTCTCGGGAGCCATCCGTGAGGTGCGTGCCAACGACTCGACGTCGACGACTCGGCGTGGGGAGGAAAACGACGACAACGACTGTTTTCGACCACGACTCGGCCATCTTCCACCGCCGAGAGGTCAGGGAAGGATTCTTTTCGAATCTTTTTTGGTCTGGCTTGAAACTGCTGGGTCTTCTTCAGTGGCACGCCGGGGTACTTACTTTCGTTATGGCTTTTGGACCGAAGATCTGGACTGAAGATGGAGCCTAAAGAGGTGCTACTGAAAAAACTGTCCGGACGGTGGCATGCCCCCAGGATGCTGACACGGGCATCACACCAGAAATCCTGCAGAAGATGAAGGAGCTGGCAGATAGCTTGCGGCACCCTTAGTGTGGAGTGTGGAGAAAGTGTTCAGTATGTTCCTGGAACTGCAGACCTATTTT